ACCTATTAATAATACTGATAAATATATGTGAGATACGATTTCGGCTAATATCTAGGTGGACACAAATCTATCTAGTCGATTGTTCAATGTTCACAAGCACACCCAGTGGTGGTCTCCGACAGGCGTCCGTGACCGCTGCACATACTTACACATGCGGATTGAAGAGTCAACTACGCTCCCGGTATGCAGGGGCGGAATAACGGCGCCGGATCAAGGTTCTCCGCTTATAATGAAATAATAGAAATATTCTGCGTAACCTGCGAGCACCTATATTGGAATTCGTCCATCTCGAAATATGATGGTTGCGCCACGTCACCACATGACTCTCTGTTGACAGCGTCTTGAGTGGCTCTCCAGGCCGATTCGGGCATGGTAGTCCCGACCGCCGTTGGCACAGATGAAGTCCGATGGTGCGATGTTGTTACAGAATAGAAGGGTCGGCACTGAAGAAATAGGCCCATGGCCTGTTGCCGATTCTTGAATTTTTCGTGACTTGATTCACATGGGATCCAGCCTTGGGAACCCGATCTTTCCACAACTGACGATTGATTGAGATAGCTGCTGGACTTATTGCCTGGTCCGTAATTTGCTAGGCATTTTAAGACTGAACATATGCTCCTGCATAGCTTTGTCTAGTCTGTTCTGGAAGGCGTTCATACTCGGAGCGTCCTGCTGTCTAGCTTTCCAGAGACGACGCTTGTCTTCCAGTCTCCGACTGCGTAGCTCCTCGCCCCTCTGGACTCCCTCCCGAACGGCCCATTGCCAGCCGCAACGGTTGTCTGCAAGCTGCTCCCAGGTTTAGGGGTAGATATTTGCGGTTCTGAGGCTACGCTTGCAGACATATTTGAAACGCAATTCCGGGCGGCCGTTCAGGAGCGCGCCTGTTGCTACTTCTCCGTAGAGCAAGTCCTTAAGAATGCGATCATTCCAAATGCGATGACCGAGCCACAGGAGACGGTGCCGGCACAGGAGAAGACGAATGCTCATTGTGCCGGCTTGTTTCAAAACAGCTGTGTTTGTGACCCTGTCTTCCCATGTGACGTTAAGGATGCGGCGGAGGCAGCGAAGGTGGAAGCACCCTAGGCGGTTTTCCGGTTTAGCGTACGTAGTCCAGGATTCGCTGCCGTAAAATAGTGTACTAAGGACGCACGCCTAGTACACATTAAGCTTAGAGCGAAGATCAAACAAGATCAAACGCCTTTGTCAGGTCGATGAACGCAATGCACAAAGGCCTCCGTTGCTCTCGACATTGTTTTTATCATTGTTTTTATCTCTTTTTATTTCCTGTAAGTTAAATGAGCGAAGCTTTTCGATTGAAATGTCTTGACACCTTGCGACCTCAGCATCAACCACATGCCGATTGTGTAGGACAGCGTCACGTGCGACGCTAAACAAGCACAATGTAACCTCAGCTGCCTAAGTGGGACGTCTTCGCTGGCTAACAATGCAGGTACGTATAATAGGCACTATACTAAAAAAATGCAGGTAATCAACAGTAACAGTGAGGCCAGTCAACAATAACTGTCTGAACTTTTAATTGTCATATATTGCTCGGGAAAATATCCCAGAAGAAATCACGAAAGTACATGCTTGAAAATGAACTATTTGAATTAAAAAAATAATAATAATAATAGCGGTTTCAGCGTTCATTAGCGGTTCATTACGCTTGAAAATGAACTACTTTAATTAATAATAATAATAGCGGTTTCAGCGTTCATTAGGCTGTCGTTGCTTCTTAACATCGCCGAACATACACAGCTTGTTGCGGTCTCGAACTCGCAACTCACTGCTACAATTCTGCAGTGCTTAACCGCCCGGCCTCCTCGCCGATTCTGACCAGAAACTGGCGCACAGAGCTGGGATCGAACCCGCGCCTCTCTGCGCCAATCCTGGTACTCTGAACTGTAACCACTGGGCCACCGTGCCCAGTGGTTTAATGGAATCTATTTGGATTTCTGAAATTAGGAAACCAATTTTGATGATGGTTTTATAAATATATTTATGAATAAAGATTACGTATTCCAAATTTTGGCCTGATTAATCTGTCTATTTCATCTGAAAGTGGCGCGGAACAACTGTACATAAAACATACCCTCTTCGTTAACGTTTTAGCTATTCCAACTGGTGATGAGTAGTGTAAATTTAAATGAAATACACAAACATTGAACAACATCACAGATCCGCATAAAAAACTTTCACGCTCTAAAATAGGCTGTATTCAAAAGAAAAAATTCTTGCACAATGCCTCTGTATTACATACGACGCAATGAAATAGTTGAAAACAACCTTTTAATAAATATAAAGACCAAATCAAGCAGTAACTAAGATGCATTTATTATTTAAGGTAAAGCGGTTAACAAACATTAAAAACTTTTAAATAAAAAACTCGCTATATGTATCCCAAAAAAGATCTTGGCAGCACAGAATTATTAACAAATATTAAAAACTTTCAAATAAAAATTCGATATATATATCCCAAAAAAGTGCCTTTTGCCAGCACAGAATAACAAATATTAAAAACTCGATACATGTTTCCCAAAAAAGATAATGGCAGCAGCACAGAATTATTCTCCTGAGATCCGTTTGGTGATGTCGGCGTCCCTGCGCGCATTAACGCCCCTCAGGACGAGCCCCTGGCAGGCAGAGCGATGGACCTGCTCGACGGGGTCGTCCTCCGCCGCCCGCAGCTGCACGAGGAACATCCGTCGTACGCGGTCGCTGCTGTTCGGGTACGAGCCGTGCACCAGCAGGTACGAGAAGATCACCACCTGTCAAGAGGAAACAGTTGCTTTATATAGGAAATTTCTATGGTGCCGTGCACCAGCAGGTACGAGAAGATCACCACCTGTCAAGAGGAAACAGTTGCTTTATATAGGAAATTTCTATGGTGTCGTGCACCAGCAGGTACGAGAACATCACCACCTGTCAAGAGGAAACAGTTGCTTTATATAGGAAATTTCTATGGTGTCGTGCACCACCAGGTACGAGAAGATCACCACCTGTCAAGAGGAAACAGTTGCTTTCTATAGGAAATTCGTAATTGAAGTTTGTCGAGTGGCAGGAATAGGTTGTGAGAAAAGTAAAAATCACCACCTATTATTTGGGTATAAATTTGTACCAATAAATAATCACAAATCGCCGCCTGACAAGTTGCAAAAATTATCATTCATCCGAATGATAATTTCGGATAAATGAAAAATCACAACCTGTCACACAACGGTGATTAGTATTGAGCAGAGTGAAGAAAAAGCATACGATACAAAATTGCGGTTTAAAATCTAGAAATATTTAATTTGAGCGTGTTACTTAAAAGGCAAAAGGAAATGTCAGTATATTGAGTTTTATATATTCTTTTGGGCGCGTCATGACTGTCCTTTTTTGCTGAAGGACTTATTTAGGAAGAAATGATTCCTAAGGAGACGAAATACTTTCTTTCGAGATAGTGATGATATTAGCATGCGTTACCAGCTTTTATGAAGTATGCTAGAAGTGGTATTATTGATGAATAAGTTATCTAGGGCTAATAACGTGGACTGTTGCGGGTAATTTACCTGGCCTTTCTTGAGCGTGAGCGGAGTGGCGGCCTCCAGCGGGAACTTGTCTTTATTGAGGTAATGGTAGTCAGGATTGTCGCTCACATCTTCCTGAGGACCGAGCTTATGGCTGCCTGGGTACACGCATAGTCCTCCGTTCTCTGGGAAGCTGTCGTCCAGGTTGAAAAACACGGCCACCATCGAGTGGTTTTTGAAGGGGAAGTAGTGGTAATCCTGATAAAAAAGATAATTGGCAAGATACACAAAAATTATTGTATTCTTTTTCAACAAACGAGTAAAAAATTTTATTTACTGGAAAATAACAAAGCCATATAAGAAGAAATTGTCGATATAAAAAGCTTTCATTTGAGTAAGTTGCAAAGATAACACTTACTAAGGACCTGTTAGTAAAAGCATAATATTCAAGGAAATTCATCTATTTTCATTTTTTATAAGGCCTGGACACACCAATTGTACACGAGAAACTTTGGGTCAAAATCGAGATAGAAATTTAGATCATAGCGAATATTATAGGTAAATGCAGCACCAATCCCTTGGGTTGACCACTAAAAAGCCTTCACGCAGCCGAGTTATTATTGTTCACCTGGTGCATGGGAAACGGACTGCCCTTGCCAGGAGGTTTGAGGTGAGCTTTAGTGTGATGCAGCAGCACATTACTTGTGCCCATGACGTCCTCGCACGCGTCCAGCAACCTAGGGTGCAGCAACAGACGACTGAACACCGCCGAGTGCATCTGCATGCCGTGGATAGACTGCACTACCTGCACGCAACATACAAATGCTAGGTCACTCTACACAATTATCCGCGGATCTTAAGCTCGAATATTGACTTTCGACCTTTTAGAAGACTGAACAAAATAGGATTCTACGTAAATCGAGTTATGGATAATTGCGAAAACTATATTTTCGCTGGGTTAAGAATGCTACTCACCGTGTTTGAGCCTTCATCTTTCGTATAATTCCAGCTTCCTTGCCACGTGGCGTCAAGATTTTGGTCAGCTTTGTTCCTGAAGATCAAGTCGTACTCGGCGCTGATCTCCTCGAGCTCCGCGCTCGACAAGATGTCCAGAACGACGTATCCGTTTTCATCATAAAATAATTTCTGCTCTTTCGATAAAAACTTCATTTTTCTCTGTGTAAAAACGTTAACTTTTTGAGCACAAAATGTTTGAATAAACCCACGATGACAAACATTAGCAACAATTACACATGATAGACATCGGTACATGCATGCTGCATCCAAATATTGGAGTCATCGTACACTAAAATTTCAGCAATGGTACCCAGCAAGCCAGGATAAAAGGTAATTCAAACTGAATGAATATATATGAGCTATTAATTTAGATTACATTTTTATCTATTTATGTGTATTTTTGTTTCGTAACTTCTGATGAAGTTTAGGTAACTGTGTACTTAAATAAAATATTTAATTGGCTTCAAAATAAATCTCTGATCCGCAAAATTCAAATCTTCACGCACTATCAACCTAAATCTTGCGGACTCTGCGCAGGTGATAAATTAATTGAATGAAGCCTGGTCATACCGAATGAATAGCAACACGCACGCATACGACAAGATCTTCTCCAAAATTGAGTTATTGTATCTAAGTTGACACGCAGGGCCAGTCAAATTTTAATGCCTTTTCTTTAATTACATACATAAGGTTTCAGTCCATAAGGTAAGCTTAGAAAAAATCGTTATTAGCACAAGAAGAGAATTGCATTAAACAATGAATAGGCAAGCGTTGCCTCGAAAAGTCCAATTTCTTTCAAATTTCAGAGTTATGTTAATTGGTGACATCAGGTGGGTGATTGTGGAAATATTAAATGATTGTTTTATTATAAATTCTCCGATCACGTGCACAATTTGTGAAGAGATGCTCACTTCCCCAAAAGTGTCTTACTAATACGGCATTTCTTTTATATATAACGCATAACTTAGAAGTCTACACGGAGCTACACTTCTGAATATTCATTCTATGTCAACTCAAATATTTCAATCTTCGTTTTCTTTCCTTCATGCCAATACTTTTTTACAATTGCATAAAATAGAGGCATTACCAAATATTTCAAATTTGAGACGTTGTAGAAATTTTAGGGAACTCCATGCCTTCACGAGCAGTATATATACCTACACAAGTATGTCCAATTTGGTCATGTTGAATGTTCCGGTTGTTCCCAAGTATATCATGTATGTTCGTGTTGATGTAGCATGAAATACTCTTGTAGAAAGTCCCGCTGGTGCATGTTGATCTCAACCTTACTGATGTTGAGCAGAAGAGGTCGATGGTTTAAATTTCTAAACGGCTGTATTGTAACTCCACGTCCCGTCATAATTCCTTCAAATAACCAATTATTTAAAATTTCATCTTGAAATCAAAGACTTGTAAAGAAAATATTTATTTTAATAGAATTTTACGCAATGCAGCTATTAACTTGAGAGGCAATACGATAAACCTATGTGATACGAAGTTAGGATTCGCCAAAAAAAATCTCTTCGTATCTCAAAACTTCTTGCCGCTGTTTTGTACCGCTTGACCTTCCATGGTGGAGGGTAACGTTTGTTTATGTCAGGCAGCGACAGATTGAGATGGAATCGGACACAACAATAAAAGAAATCTCGGGGCCAAACACGCTCTGTTGGTTATAGTCTGCGGAGTATCTGTAAATGTTCTTAAGTATTCCATTAATTGTCCATCAAATTTCATTGCAGTGAGTCAGCGTTCAACTGAAGAACACAAGAAAAAAATTCACAGGGTGCCATGTGTGCAGACAATCATTCAAATATTTACTCATAACATAACATAACATAACATAACATAGTGATGTCGGCTCTGAAGTGTAGGCCTGATGTGGCCTGTCGCCGATTCTTTTCCATTTCGTGCCTTGTTCATAGATCTAAACTCGTGTCATTTGACCGGATCTTTTCATGACTGGCGATAGTTTGAAGAAGCTACTAGACTTCCACCGGGTTCGATAAGAAGGAACTCGTATGAGCGTCTGATTAGTCCAAGAAGTTTGTTGGATGTGTTAGCTTGCGTTTCAACATGCTTTATACTTTATTTTGCGTTATACTATACATACTCAATTTGAACGGCATCGTACTTTCTTTAAAAACAACTTTCAGCTTTTTAATGCTAGCCAGAACCATAGTCGAGACATTATCGAAAGCAGAGAGGAGACAATTCGAAGGCTCACAAACAGACGAAGAGCAAACAGTGTCAGCACCACACTCAGCAAGGTTCAGGCGTCCACTGAGCAGCGGTGCGGAGTGCGGACCGCGGAGTGTTGATGTTGCTCGGTCCGTGGCACTGAAGTACGCCCCCTCCGCCATCATATCTAATGGCTCACTCAACTTTAGCCATTCAAGTGATATGATCTATCAGACTTATTGTTGTTAAGTGGCAGAAACCAGATGCTTCTCCGTATCATGTTATGCTCTGCTGACCTTGGGCTGTGCTTGGCCAGCTCACCGAACATTATTGCAGATAAAACTCGTAGGTAATGATTAAAGGGGTTTTCATTTATGACCTGTTGCAAACAGCATCATTGTTAGTGGATTACACCTCGGAATATTTTCACGGACAATTCTGATGAACTGATTCCTATTAATTTCCTGATGAACTGATTCATTGTATTTTTCATAATTTTCAATGACTTCAATGTAATGTTATCATATTCCTTTTATTCGGTATCTACATGCGACAAAAATATAATATTTTCAGTTCAAATATAGGAAAATGAAAAATATACATTCATATTCAAGTACTTTCGTTCATACCTGTCTTTCATTAAATATCCCAAAGTTAAATTATTAAAAGATGAACGATCCCCAGTCATATAAACGGTTTAAAAGACACGAGTCATTGTAGAAAAATATTTACAGTCAAAAATATCTGAAACTGTGCGGAATAGAACGGCTAAGGAACAACCAGGGTAAAATCTCAGTTATTTGAAATCTCGCATCATATACATGCGACATAAATGTATAGGAGAATGCAACAAGAATAAAATGCTTGATATTGCCGAGAGAATCTAAAGAAGGCAGCCACAGAGGCACTCGAAGTGATAACATTCCTGCTACGATAACGCCACGAATGCTTCATCCTGCTTCAGCTTCTTGCAACGACATTAATCGGTGAATAAGAACAACGTCTTAGGATTTTACTCGTATGGATGTTAGTCGCTTGTGATGTGATAAATCACCTACACGGGATAACAAACAACTTTGTGATGGGATAAACAACCTACACGTGATAACAAACAACCTTGTGATGTGATAAACAGCCTACACGGGATAACAAACAACCTTGTGATGTGATAAACAGCCTACAAGGGATAACAAACAACCTTGTGATGGGATAAACAACCTACACGGGATAACAAACAACCTTGTGATGGGATAAACAACCTACACGGNAAACAACCTTGTAATGGGATTAACAACCTACACGGGATAACAAACAACCTTGTAATGGGATTAACAACCTACACGGGATAACAAACAACCTTGTAATGGGATTAACAACCTACACGGGATAACAAACAACCTTGTAATGGGATTAACAACCTACACGGGATAACAAACAACCTTGTAATGGGATTAACAACTTACACGGAACACTCAAGTGGAGAATAAATAATTATCGTATAAGTTAACTGGGCTCACCTTAAATTAATTTTTAATTTTTTAAATCACCCTTAAAATAAATTTTTATGATGTTAAATACCAGAACAAAAGCTCCCAGCAATGCAGGGTTCGCAGCACCTGCTGTAATAATCTGAGAAAACATTCTGACTTTATTAAAATAAAAAGAAAACTAAATATACGTTTAAATAAGAAATTAAATTTAAGTTAATGATGGGCACTTATATGTTATTTTACTTTTTTACGCCTGAGTATGCTACTTCTCATGCTTTATTTCCAATTAAGCATTTCTCAAATTTAAATTAATCAGTCGATGAGTTTAAAAAAAAAATCAAAGTTTCAACCAACTCTAATAAATAAGAGGTGCTTTAAGACATTAAATAAATTAATAAATATAAGAATATCTTTAAAAACTACCAGTATATATAGCGCCATTAAATGTCTTCATTTGTCTTCACAATGCCAGCAGAGAGGAGTTAAGCTAATGCATTTTTGCTGAATTTGTTTGTCTGATAAAGTTTCGATACAATGAGTGTTTACAGGCCAGTTATTAGCTCATAATGCAATGAACTTATATCTTAATTATATAACTTGTTTATATTATATTATAGCTTATATATAGCGTATATAGTATAATATTTAAAATATATTATACTCCAATTATAGACCTGATAACGATCATCTTTAGCATCATCTGCATCACATTAAAAACTTTGGTATTTTCCAAACCTAAAATTATGTTCATTATCTTAAATGTTTTATATATAACGTTGATGGAAATCTTTTACGTTTTATTAACACATTTTAAAAGAATTCTTTAAGTCAGAAAGAAATTGTAACATTGCTAAAGAATCACGTATGTGATGGTGAGATTTATAACTGAGTAGACATGAACTTTTATAATGCAGGGGAGAGATAAGCCCGAAAAATATAACCATAATTCCTGTCAAACAACTAATATCGTGGGACTTACGGTCACGGAACTCCTGATCACGGAACTCCTGATCACGGAACTCCTGATCACGGAACTCGTGATCACGAGTTCCGTGATCACGGAACTCGTGATCACGGAACTCCTGATCACGGAACTCCTGATGACGGATATATATATATTTTCACTATATATATCATCTCCTGGAGTACCACGGGTAGTATATATATCATCTCCTGGAGTACACGGGTAGTATATATATCATCTCCTGGAGTACACGGGTAGTATATATATCATCTCCTGGAGTACACGGGTGGTATATATATCATCTCCTGGAGTACCACGGGTAGTTCTGCAGGCCCTCGAAGGCGGTGAGGTCGAGCACGGGGGGAGGGGGGGTGGTGGTGTGGTACAGCTCGGGGGGGTAGGGGTCGTATTCTTTGTGGCCAGGGTTGTCAACTTCTCCGGGCTGGAGAAAAATAAAATTCATTTGAAATATGACTGATAGCGATATGAATAAAGAATTCATGAAATAAAAGAGGTTTAAATGTTTGGATTCCAAATTTTCACACGCACGCCGAAGAAAAAATGTCAATAACCCTGTTGGTTTAACAAGACAGCGGGAGCAGATTTACAAGATACATACTAAATAAATAAATAAATAAATAAATAAATGAAAGCGCATTAGTTTCGAATATTTGAATTTTGAATAATAGCCTTCATAGAAAATTTATTTTTCTGGGCTTGTGACTATAGAGTTAATAGAATCGATGCCAACAAACTGTATGAACCATGCATGATGTAATAAGTGGTCAAAACACGTTGAACACTTATTAGGAGTTATTAATTTCGGCTCAAGTTGAATCCATTTGGAACCGAATAGCTCAACGTCATTAAACAAACAGAAAAAAAACTGGATTTAGTTTCCTAGTTTTTTAATTTATTCAACACATTCGCACAAAATTTTAAATTTTTCCTCGTGTATTGATCATATCAACCCCGGAGCCTCATAATTTTTCACGTGAACTTGCTGCACCCACATACTATGCGGCACTAGTTAGCCCCATTAATACGAGCCTAAATACGAGTTCCTAAATGCAGAAACGATGAAGCAGTTGTTTGTTGCCGTCGTACGCCCGAGTCTAGAGTTTGGAAACGTTGTGTGGTCACCGAGATTCAAGACTCCCGGTATTATGCGGCACAAATTAGCCCCGAACTCCCCACTTACTCCCGGGTACTCGAATTTTCCAGGTCCCAGCTGAGGAATGAAGTCCCCAGGTCCCATTTCCCTGAGGTATTGGAAGTCCCCGATGTAAGGAATGGCGAGGCGCAGTCCATACCTGTTGTCCCAACCTGTACGAGCGGCGATGGTCCATTGTTACCAATGATTAAGTATGGATATTGTAATGGTATAATGGTAGTTATAAACTAATGATTTAATGTTAAAGTGGCCATAGTTAACGGGAATAATTGATTTGGCTAAACAACGGTTATGTATAATAAATATCATCATAACGAAGAAGTACAATGGTTGGGTATGAACTATCCAGTAGTAACCATAAAATTTAAAACGAAAAGAGTAAAGAGAAATTTTTAATGTAATTGAAAGTTAAAATTTTTTAGAGCTGTGATCTAGAGCGCCTTACCAATCTTGTGATCAGTTCCTACCATAAATTGTCGATAGGAAAATAGTAATTAATTTTTTCGTTTCATTGTTGTTCATCTCATTCAGCCTATTGAGAACTAACATTAGTTCTTACTAAAACAGATTTACTGCCTGAACTTTTATAGAGAAAATATTAAATTTCCTCTAATTACTTTTTAAACTTTGATTCATTTAATTAAGAAGCACTAACAAATACAAGCTCTTTCAATATAATTTTCTATATTTTCAGCAGCTAAACTGTTTTAGATTGAGCTCACCCTTGACGATCCTCTCGTCTTTCTTGATGGGTTTTGGAGGATGTTGGATCTCAGGCACGAAGTTAGGCATGATCAGTCGACCGTCCCAGAACGGTGCTGGAACCAAAATATTATCAAAACTTAATTATGCTAGATATGCTGATTTGTAAATAACGTAATTAATGTCTATAATATAACAAAACATGAGTGTAAATGACATTACAGGCAATGAAACTCAAATGAAATAGATATATAAAAACCAAAAATGAATTTTAAACTTGACAATATCCGTGGAATATTTCTTCAGTACTGGGTGCAAAATGAAGCCGTTATTTAATTGGCTCAGCAGAATAATAAGGTATAATTTTTGTCTCGGAAAAATCATGGCAGGGATTCAATTTTAATTCTCTTTGCAGGCGCCATACCTAAATTGATAATCGACGAAATGTTCAAGAAGAAAAAGAAAGTTATTGAGGATTAAAGTCTTATGCTGCAAAAGCATACGAGTCTGTGCCCACTTAAATGTCAAATAACTATAGAACTTGGTTGGCTATCAAGCACCAGCCACTTACGATATTTTCAAAAAAATTTGTGGAATTGTAATGAAATTTCGGGTGAGATGCTTAATTTTATTTCGTACTTGAACATTTCGTGAACAATTGAGTACAATGAGTTTAGCTTCGAAACTATCAACCTTTGAGTTCAACGGAGATGCGAATAATATTTACTTAAATCTTCAAGTCAACTTTTGCGAGATGTCGCGTGGTCAAGTGAGCCTGAATCAGTGAGAAGCGGGTTCGAAACCCAGTTAGCTGTTCTAATTACGCGACGTCGATAAACTGCGGCAGGCCCAGTCACGCTAAACTTCATTGCTGAAACGTTTACATATAATTTTATTAGATTATTTCTAATATTACTTTATATCGATACTCACGCAACTCCCATACGTCGACACCATCGGCATGGTTGTAGAGAGGTTTATACTTGTGAGGATCATCACGGTAGCCTTCAGGAGGGATGTGTACGTAGTAAGTATCGTACTTGTCATCCTCGTCCTCGTAGCCATGCTTGTAGTCCGAGTATTTCACGTCTTTGTGCGACCTGAAAATTGCGATGTTTACATCTGCGTTTATTTTGCATTTTTAACATGGAACCGCGTTCCTTTTTGTTCAACTCTTGAAATGCTTTCCATATATATATATATATCGAAATCTTAAACAAGTTTGTTAAAGACCAGAGAATTAGTTTTATTTATTAACTTCTTGTTAGTTTTTTCAATAAGTCGTACTAAATTCTTCGTAGGTGTTGGAAGATTGAAAATCAATTACCGATAGACATTTTTAATATTGAACGACGTTTCGAATGTACAACATTCATTTTCAAGTTAAAGACGCATAGAGTAACAAAATTTGGGTTGACATATGTACGAAATCAAGTAAATTGGATACCATTCAAATAATGCTAAAATTTCGTTTACGTTATACTACCTACATGAAGATTTTACAAGCGCAAAAAACTACTCGGAAAACAATCTCAAAGTTCTGACGAAGCCGGTGGTTTGAAGGTTGATAGCTGGAGTCCTCTCCTTAATGATGAGGGCCTCTGCTATAGCCAGTCGTATAGGATCAGGGCACCGCATAACGATACTGGTGCATTCTTCCAATATCGGGCGAGTGATGGTCTCGTTGTGGGCATAGTAGATATAGAATTTCGTATTTTCAAGTTCATTATTAGTTAGTTCTATTTGTCTCCGAATTAGGTCATTCCTGTATCTCACAGTGATCATTTCTTCTCTCGCTGCCGGGTCATGAGTGCGAATATTAGTGTAGGCTGGCAGAATTTCTTCTCTTAAGCAAGTTTTGTTAAAAATCAGAGAATTAGTTTTACTTATTAGCTTCTTGTTAGTTTTTTTCAATAAGTCGTACTAAATTCTTCGTAGGTGTTGGAATAATGCGTCTTTAACTTGAAAATAAATGTTGTACATTCGAAACGTCGTTCAATATTAAAAATGTCTATCGGTAATTGATTTTCAATCTTCCAACACCTACGAAGAATTTAGTACGACTTATTGAAAAAACTAACAAGAAGTTAATAAATAAAACTAATTCTCTGGTCTTTAACAAAACTTGTTTAAGAGAAGAAATTCTGCCAGCCTACACTAATATATCGAAATATATATATAATATATATATATATATAATAAAACTTTCAGGTATATTTTATGTTTCAAACTCAGCGTGTTGTCAACCAACATTTCAATAATTATAGCCTTGCTTCCTTTTCATAAAAAAATGCAAGTGAAATTCGAATCAAAATCCAAGTTGGACCGAAGCGAATAGGTCAAGTCTCACTGACATGCTAAGGCCATAAAGCCGCCGACAGATGGTTGCCTCTATGGTTGATAGGTTTATTGTGTGGAAGAATAGGTCTAAAATAACTGACTAAGCATGCATCTGACATCTAAAAATATTAAGGATGTGTTATAAAGCACCATTTATTTAAAAATGGGTTAAAACTCGTACTGAGATCACATAAGCTAAAATCATATCAATAACCGAATAAAAAATTACGAGCCAAGCATACAAAACCCCAATGTATGTACAATATGAAATTGGACTATATTCTAAATCACTTCTCTTTAACTTCACTTCTTGTTGTTTGTGTTTGTTTGTCTGCCACAAATCTTATAATCAATATTTAACACACTTCTTCCTGTCCAATCGATCTGAAATTTTGCACACTTGCGTAAAGTCGGAGACAATGTATGAATCAATTAACAGAATTAATAATTTCAAAAATTAGGAGAAAAATTTTATATTAAAAAATTGTTTTCACATTCAAAAATAAAAGAAGAAATTCATTGTCCGTTTCTAACATCGGAGACACTGGCCTCTTTAGCAGTGTTGTCTTTGAAAAGTAATTTGTAAACGCATATTATTTAGAAATAATCTCACTTGAGCGACTTGATGAAGCGCCTGTTGCCGCTGCTGGCTGTGTCGTCCTGAGCAGCGGCTGCCACGGTGTCCCCGCCCGTCACGTAGCTCAGCAGGCGAGAGAGGAAAGGAGCCGCGTTGCCTGTTGTACGATATTCCATTACTTAATGGACTTTTACTTTTATGAAAGAAATCAATAGTTTGCATTCTAAGTTGAATGGGATAACAGGGCATTCAGAATGTCAGTAAATAAACAGTAATCGCCGTATCAGTCAGATACAGAGGTTGGTAATTAATTTATGAAGCTAGGTTGCCCATTAGTTAATTATTACCATATTACATGAAGGTAGTTGATGAATACGTGAACTCAGATCAAAAACATTTCAGCTTAAAAAGTGGGATCTCTCACATCAGTCACCTTATTGATATACCCCTATAGTCCAGTAGTCCCCTTAAGACCCATTCACAACGGCCAAGCATTGTTTGGCAACGTCCACACAAGTTTGTATGAGTTTCAACCGTTGAAATTATCCACAACACACACGCTGCAGGGATTTTAGTTGACACCGCCAGGGCCTTCAACGAACTGTTTTCTCCGAGCAATCATTACTTAGCATGGCATCTGCCTCATTAAAACTTACTTTTTGCACTTCTTCGACATTGTTACTACCAGAGATATAGAAATGCTGGCTCAGGAAGAAACGCTCTAATGTTATATAGACTTAAATTATAAAGAATATTTATTCATAGTAAATTGTTTAATTAAAAATTATCAGGTTCATATTTTTGTGATATATGAAATTTTATGGTATTTTACACCTATTCGGCGTTGGGGCTCCGACATTTATAGCTTTTGAAAAAAGAAGAGAGAGACGAATGTCAGACCAGAGAGAAAGCATCAGCCGTGAGAGATTGATTGAAAATTCACGACGCTTCTGCGACAGTTTATTAAATCCCGGTTTCTTTATTTGACTCGTCGCTGTTTACCGCATTCCATTGCTCCCGTCTATTGCTAACGACTCCTGTATATACAGCTGTAATTTGAGATCCTGTCTCCATTGGAAAAATATAATTAAAACCATCAATCAGTGTGTCAGTTCATTCGGACGGAGGTGCCGGCAGCACTAATCTCAACTGAATGATAAATTAAAAAAAGCGCTTATGCCCATAAAAATTTCTAAACAAGTTGTCGTAGTGACGTAACTTCTACTTCACAAAACACCTTAAGGATCTTCTGGTGGGATATACTCTGCGTTGTCACGGTACTACAAAAGCTGAAGCGACATATGTAAATGACAAGTGTTCCGCCGATGTATTATCATTAAAGATGTTAGCTGCCATCCTTTTACTGCCCATGTTCCATCAGCAGTCATTTATCAACGCAATGTACGGTAGACTTCGATTACGACCAGTACGTTCTATAGAGGTTCCCCGCTACAACGTAGGAGCGGTAAGATGCGTTTTAATACGGAAGATATCATATGCCTGATGCCACGACGACATCTGGAATTCCTCTTCATTCCTCAACTTTTCCATATTGTAAACGAGCTTGTAAGCCACAAATAGCGTGTAACGAACTGATTAAGCGTTGATATACTCGTATCAATGCAAACCTCAAACAAAAAACATTTACCACCAAGCAAGTGAAGCTGAGGACTGTATAAATTACCCATTTGATCTGTTAGAAAAGTATGACCCCTTTTAAGCAAATAACTTTGAAAACAACGTATATCATGAGCTAATTTCGTTGAAAAAACGTTTGAATAACGTAATTTAAACGTCAGCTTGGAGGCGGGAGGATTTTGGGGTGTACTGCAATGTTTATAAGTTGTGTTAAACATCACAGTATTAAATGCAACAGAACAAAATTCATGCCCTCAATAATGACTGCTCGAAATCTCTGGAACCCTGGAGCATTAGTGTATTCGAAAGGTTTCAATCAGCAGTGGACCGGCAGCCAAGGTTCGTTAATAAGGTTTCCGACGTTCGCGAAGAAACATTTTTCGGCGCGTGATATTGTGGTGACACCTACTGGAATATTATTCGCAGTGTTTACTTAACTGAACTGGTGTAGTGGTGCTGTTAAATAGCGAGTATTGGACTCAGTTAATAACATAAAAATGCGAGCATCTATGCTCATTTAAGGATTCTATAAATATGCATTACTCTATTAAAAAATATTGTAAAGCAATTTATATTTACGTTAAGATTCGCATTGCGCCGCGTCCGTTTTCCACGATGACGAGGCTGATTCGGTCGTGTGGGAAACCGAACAAAACGCTCTACCTTCTCCCGTCTGAGTTACTTTTCACTTTACACGGCTAGAAATGTGTGTGCTTTCGTTGTTTTGGTGTCGAAGTCGACACTCTTGCGTAAAACCACTTTCTCTGATCAGGCTATGACTCGAGGCATCAACGAGCAACCGGAAAATAAGTTCGACAAGTGGACAGCGATACTCTCGAACGGGAAAAAATTAAACAAGTTTTCTTATTTTTCTAGTGTCCTGTTTGGAGCATGCATAAAAAGATATGAATGAATCAATGGGCTATGAACACTAAAAACAAAAAATATTCATGGCAGCAACTGTTACGATTGATTTCAATCGAAATGCACTCACAGAATGCAAATTAAAAAGTTCAGAATTTTCCAAAGTCAAGAAATACATCCATCGCAGATCAGGCCCGAGCATAGAGATGATATTTCCGTCCACTAGTTTTACGAAGAATAAGCTAATTAGGAGATAAATTTTGAATGATCCTCACACCTAAGCAGTAAGTTAATAATTTTTTGCAACATTATTAGTAAGTTAATAATAATGTGAAGAACATTAAGTTAATGAGGTGTTAAATGTTAGAAGTCTTGTAGCAGAAGATCGATTTAATGAGGTGCTAAATGTGTTGGTAATGATGGTCACAGAACATTAGTTCAATGAGGTTGTAAATGTGTTGGTTTTGATGGTTGCAACTGAACATTAAGTTAATGAGGTGGTAAATGTGTTTGTTTTGATGGATGCAGCCAAACATTAAGTTAATGAGTCTGAACATTAAGTTAATGTTAAATGTTTGAGTGCACAATACTGCACATGCAGGAGGGGAATGTGGGTCGCCGGCAGAGAAAGTTGCCGCGGCTGAGGTGGACGGCAGCAGCGAAGTTTGGATGAGTTATGACGGCCGAAGAAAGTCCACTGGCCAGAAGCAATGCATGTGATAGAATAGAAGTGTCGGCACTGAAGAAATAGGCCCATGGCCTGTTGCCGATTCTTGAACTTTTCGTGACTTGATTCACAAGGGATCCGGCCTTTGCAACCAGATCTTTCCATAACTGACGATTGATTGAGATAGCTGCTGGACGTAATTTGCTGGGGATTGATACGCGTACGGAAGAGCATCAATCATTGATCAAGTTTTTTTATGTATATGTGTGTTAGAAATTAAATAAGTAAAGTGATAAAATAAAATGATTTGATTGAAAATGAAATAAGCGGTTACTTCACGGTAAAATTTGGGTTCTACATTTTATTCGACTTGTGTAGATAAATTCGCTAGCGTGATATAAACTGATCAGATGTTCACACAAGACGAGTAGATATATCTGCCACGATGGATGGATATTCATTCGTAATAACCATTCAAGTCTTCATTAATGTTTTGGTACGAGAAAATGAGTAACTTGATGTTCCAGAAAATGAGTCAAATACACACTACGCAGTAATAATATAAATTTGGCTTATTTTTTATGAGTTTAATTCAATTCGTTGATCCTCGGGTTATTATTATTGTTTGTGTAGTACTACAGTAATAGAGAAAAATGTCTCCTCACGTTGGCTTTCTTTCTGGGTTACGCGCGGTCATCATTGAGATCCTCGTGGCAAGCTTACCAAACGAAGAAGTCGACGAAGAACTGCGCCGATGTAAAGAAAAAGCGCCGTGAAATTGAGCGCAGAGTATATCATTCGTTGCAGAATTGACGCAAAGCTTGGGATCAATAAAAGCAACAGACAAACTTTATATCCAAGCTGCGAAAGGTCCATTTGGGAATCAATAATCAACATATTATTACTATCAAAATATAATATTATTACCAGTACAGCAGGTAAATTCAGAGCGAATCCAACAGAAAAACTCTAATGGTGATTAAAAACTTAAGAAGAACCGAGGCGACTTCTCGCCGCTCAATCTTAAAAAGGGAATGAATAGAGAGTATAAACTTTATCTCATTGCTGGTAGAGCTTGAAGATAACATGGGAATATATTCTTACCCGAACTCAAGTTCAGCGCAAGAATAAAAATGACGAGCACACTCTGATTTCCGCGAGTCATTCCTTAACATCACTTCCTGAAGGTAACTTTCTACGACAAAAATGAGGCCAGGAGCAGCTACACGCGCGGTCTGCTCGGTGCGGAAGCCAGAGCCCAACTGTCAAGTGAGGCACCACAAGCCATTACGACGTCTCGGACAAATTTACGGCCGGACCCGCGGCCGCAGGACTCCAAACATAGAAAAAACCTAGCCAATCAACGAAAATCACGCAGGTTAGGTCCAGTTAGGAACAGGTTCCATTAAAAAAACAAAAACCTAGAAAACCCATAAAAACACTAAGAAAACCTTTCCGGCCGCGGGTCCGGCCGTAAATTTGTCTGAGACCTGCCATAACGTTGAAAGCAGTAGTGACCCAGCTCAAGGTATCCAAGTTGAGTTGGAAACTAAATAATTTAATAAATACACCAATTCGTCATTAAAATCAAACGTAAATATAGATAATCTCTTAACCCTCTACCGCCTGACATGAGTAACCGGAGCAATATTGTCACGCGCCTACTTCCCAAAAAGGATACGTTCTAGTGAGCGCAAAATGACTTGCAGTGATGGTTGCCGCCACGTACGACAACTTTAAAAAGTTCTCTGTTGCGTACAAACGTCCTCAGGTTGCTACACTCAATAGTTTACGTGTAATTTAAGTTGAGAGGTATGTTCCCGGAAAAGTAACATACGGCGGTGGAGGGTTAAGTAACAGAAACTTTAGTTACAACTTCGCAACATACGATCAAATCGTGTGCAAGTTAGAAGAGCAAGTCTCGACCTACATATCATAACGGAGGTGTGTCAGACCCGGCCATTCCCGAGCGTGAAATGTTTACAAACAACTTATCTGATCAGGACTCAAACGATTGTCATACTTCAGTGGCGTCATCAGCAAACCCAAATTATTTAGTAAGCGACGTTCTCGTCGGCAAAAATCCAAGTTAAGAAGAACGAGATCTTTGCTTCGTCAAGGGAAAATGATTAGGTTAGGAAATTACTAAGCACTGTCTAGCTACAGTCACTCACAGTACTAGGCACTGTCTAGCTACAGTCACTCACAGTACTAGGCACTGTCTAGCTACAGTCACTCACAGTACTAGATACTGTCTAGCTACAGTCACTCACAGTACCAACACTACTACCAACACAATGTGCAACTCAATCAATCAATGCAACTCAAGCTACTAGAACTTAATGTAATTATGTCTTGTACTTACAATGATATTAAATTAAATCATAGGATATCATTAAATTATCAATGTTCACTATGATATAAACACCATACAATATACTGTAAATGAATAATTTATTGAATTGAAAATAAATGTTGAAAACCTAAAATTTTCTGATTTATTGATGTCAATACCTATATGTTAATAGATGAACTTGAAGAGTACCTATGGAGCCCAGACAAGATATTTGTTCCAAAGTTTTAGGAGAAGCCAAATCTCAGACCTCCAGCAATTGATAAATATCGCAAGACTAGTACATGCATGAGTAGTAATATTTCATTCATAATGGCCTAAATTGTAGCAAGATTTGAGAGATAATAGTTAAGCTTCTTTGAAGTCTGTTTTTAGAATAGAGACACCTTGGGGATATCAAAAGAAATAAAGCAATAAATATGAATACAACATAGGCTGAATACATTTATTTGGTCCAGGAAACCTTGGGGATATCAAAGTGTTCAGATTGAGAATCTAAGTTGCGATTGAATTCTTCCACCTTCTCCTTGTGACTTTTGGACGCCTTCTTTTTGATGCGATCTTCCTCCTGCAATGGAGACATTGCATTCCTTTACAAACATGTGGTATACCAAAATATTATCTAAATAAAAAATATTTCAACTTAACAGGTTCAAATAAGTAAAAATATGTTTAAAAATACATTGTTTGAATAGGATAGACAACACCACCTTAATATTGGCAAGTATTATCACCATTTAAAAATACACGATAGAAAAGGAATGTTTAGAGAAAGGAAGAAATTGAAGAAAGAAAGAAGAAATTGAATTGAAGAAAAAGAAAAGAAAGAAGAAATTGCAAACTAATTACCAAGCCTGCAGTTCTTTAAATGCTTTTAAAAAGTGTTATATGCTACCAAAATTCACCGCACCATTTGTCTCTGCCGTTTGAGGAAATGCATCTCAGCCTTTGTTCTCTGTATGGCACAAGCCTTGTTGCCGCTGATGGACGACACAAGCACGTTGTTGTGGACATCAGGAGCTCCTGGGGCATCTTTTTCTGCATTCTTTGCTTTCTTCTTCTTCCTGAAAAAATGAGAGTAATATTACTGCTATATAAACTGAACAGAAATGAGGGAAATATTTCTGAAACTAGAATGATTTCAAATTAAGATCAACTATTATATGCAAGTTTTCATTTAAAATTGCACAGTGCGTCAATATAAATGCATGGCAACAAATTTTGACTGGACCAATCCCTGCCATTTTAAAATGAAATTTCCAAAAGAACCAAGCATTTTTTAAACCTATTTCACTCATATAAATGACTTGAGTCACTTTTGACATGATTGTTATCTTTATGAATAAATTATGAATTTATAATGCATTGTTATGATACTTTGACTAAAATATATCATAGGATTAAAAGAAATTGGGCCCAACAAATGGGATAGCTTAGATTTCTCACAAGCTCTCTGCATTCTTTAGGGAAAAATAGTAACAGTTACAAAGGATTTTTATAAATCACTTGCAAGAGTTTAGTTTTGGAATAATTGCTGTCAAAATTTCTTCAAAACCATCTAAGGAATCTCATTACAAAAATTAAGATGCTTACAGCATTGATGCATTGAAATCAACTGAAAATAAAGAATGGTGTCCAACACCTCTGAACATTTTACACTGCATAACTCAACATCATGGTTGAACTAGTATAAGGTTGACCCTTCAAAAGCCCATTTTTGCAAATATAATTTGTTGTTTGCCTGTGACGTCACTGATCTCAGTGACGTAACGGGCATTAACCAATCACCGAAATGCGATCAAAGCAGTCAACCAATCCATAATGGGAATGACGTGTCTGTTTACGTTTCTCGATCTACGTGACGTAACAAGAAAGCTGAACTGAAAGACGGAACTTCTCGTGGGTCAACCTTATATAGTTCAAGCATGACTCAACATGATCTGGTCATAGATGGATATAACGAACTGCAAGATAACACAATTATCAAGTAGACAATCATTAGTTGCCATGGAATCTTTTGAGACCAAATTTTAATTTTTTTAGACCAATTTTGTTAGGCCTGATTTTATACCAGAAAATTTGGCAATAAACCTCTTTTAAATGCAATAAAATCAAATGAACTCTTGGAAAATTTGAGCTCAGCTTGTAGTATTGGTGTCTATAATAAAATCTTAGCATAAACAGTAATTAATAGCACTGCTTCATATTAATATTAGCAGGAGTGCCAAAATTTACATAGAAAAAATGTTCAAGTTGATAGGGCTGATCATCAGGGCTGATGTTTGATTGACAACTGTGACATTAGACAGCTTGATTGACAACTGTGATATTTGACAGCTTGATTGACAACTGTGACATTAGACAGCTTGATTGACAACTGTGACATTAGACAGCTTGATTGACAACTGTGACATTTGACAGCTTGATTGACAACTGTGACATTAGACAGCTTGATTGACAACTGTGACATTAGACAGCTTGATTGACAACTGTGACATTTGACAGCTTGATTGACAACTGTGACATTAGACAGCTTGATTGACAACTGTGACATTTGATAGCTTGATTGACAACTGTGACATTTGACAGCTTGATTGACAACTGTGACATTTGACAGCTTGAACTTATTGAAAATATTATTTTCAATAAGTGTTCAATATGAAAACTTTTTGAAATTATTATTCAAGGTATTCTTTGGAAGTAGTGATAATTTCTAACTTAATAAACATGCAACAGTTGGAATAGGTGTATTATTAATATGTCTAATACCCTAATTTTTTGGGGGTTAGGCACCAGAAAAAATCAATTTAGAAAAGAAACATCAATTATCAAAAATTAAATGGTTTTAGTGATTAATGTATTACATACATTATACAATACTGATAAGACAATAGGGTTTTGCTACATCAATGGCTATAATATATATAACCAGTTCACATTACTTAATCAAAAAAGGCCAGCCAGCCTTCAATCAAAAGGATATGTTTTAAAAACAAAACTGAAGCAGATGATGTTATTGTCCGCATCTTTCAAGTGTTATAAAAACAGCTCCATAATCATCATGTGCTAATTAAACCTCACAAATAGTAATTCTGACAAATTACCAGTACTCCAGAATTATTTGGTTTTTAGAGACAATTGGCACTGTGTGTGCATGTGTACAGTATCTGCTGAGTGTGTCATTGATGGTAGCAGATACTATAGACATGTTTATGTGTCATTGATAGTAGTTGTTAGTGAATTAAATTCAATCAATATTGACAATAGAATTTGAACTCACTTTTTGATTCCTGAATCCTTGACCCCTTTCAATTTAAGGGGCTCTTTGCTAGCTACAAAATATACTGAATCAGACATTTATTTGAATAGTGTATTTTCACCAGCAATATTCTTTTCTTTCTTATTTATTCTTATAGGAGCACTGGAAACTAGTCCATAAAGCCCCTTGCCTAAACAAGGTTTAATTGGTGCCTAACAGCTTGGAAAATCTAAAACACAGAGAGAAAAAAAACAAGGAATCAAGAATACCAGGAAAGAGAAAAGATAAAAAATAAATATTAAAAATGAGGAAAAAGGGATGAATAAAACAAAATAAATGAGTAAATAAGGAAAACAACAACACAAAAAAAATATAGAACAAAAATACACTAAAATATAAAGTGCAATAACATAACGTACAATGACACAAAGGAAACCAAGAAAGATTGCATGTATACCTAACAGTACAGGTTGCAGTGCATATTTGTGACCTACTGAGTTCCGTGATACAAAATTGGGTGCTACCACTATGGTCAGACATCAGGCAAGTATTTGTTTCAAGTCAACATCTAATCCCATATTAGCTGTCACAACCCCATGCTGCCCTAACTTGCATCACACATGAGATTGTTATGCTAACTGAAGGTCCAGCCTGGGGGGGGGCAGCAGCCAGGAGCTTCTCTTGGCACAACAGCCAAAGCAAGTGAGATGAACTCTGGTTGCAAAAACAACGTATTCAAACATAATATCCAGTGCGCAGGGTTGTGAAAGAATAGGGAAAGTATTGTAAAGTGGGGAAAGAGTAGCACTCCTCACAAAATGCAGTCTCTATTTACATAAACTATATTCCTAAATCTATTAAGGGGAGCGTCTGGGTGTTTTTGAACTTGGTTATTTATGGACGGATCACTTCAAAATTTGGAACACTTATGTAATACCGTAAAATGGGGTAACTTAGACCACTTTTTTTCATAAATGATGCCTTTTTTTACTAGCTAAATTAAACTTGAATTGAAACATGCAAAATACAGGTCTATACTCTAGCTTCACTCACCATAAATTGCTGGCTCCTGCCTCTCATAGTCTTTATGTAATTTCAAAAAAGTGATGGTCTTTGTTACCTCAGCTCTTGAGGTAACTTAGACCAGGTGGTAAAATCAATTATATTTTTTGGTAAAATAACTCCAAATAACTCCAGGTTTTGGTGCATTGTAGTAGAACTCTTCTAGTTACATATGCAAATGACAAACTTGAGGAAAGTGTCATAGTTTGCAAATGGGGGGCGCCGCCCCATAATGGGGGAAATGTGACTACCTAATGGCAGCCCTGATGGGGTAATAATGACTGGCTTGGAAATTAAGTTAAAATTACCATATATAAGACTCTGTAGAGTCTGAAACATAAAGAAAAAACATAAATAGGCTGTCAAACATAAAATATGTTATATATGGTAATTTTATATTAACTTCAAAGCCAGTCTATGTTACCCCGTCAGGGCTGACATTAGGTGGTCTAAGTTCCCCCATTTGAGGGCTGCGCCCCCCATTTGCAAACTATGACACTTTCCTGAAATTCGTCATTTGCATATGTAACTAGAAGCGTTCTACTACAATGCATCAAAACCTGGAGTTATTTTACCAAAAAATAAAAAAATTGGAGGGGGTACTCTGACAGGCTTTAAATAATAGCTTTTTTTCATGGGTCACATTTTTAATTTTTTAACCTATTAGATATGCAAACTTTTCAAATCTTTCTATCGTGTTATGTAGCCTCAGTATTAGGCCTTTAATGCACATTGACAAAATTTTTATATGTCAAATAGTTTCTGAGTTGTGGGGGTTTTTGTTAAAAAAACGAAAAGTGGTCTAAGTTACCCTGCCGGTCTAAGTTAAAAAATCTAGAAAACATGAAATTCTGAAAAACAATCAAAAAAGGGGTACTGTCAACCGGGGCTACTCGGGACTGGCTGGGTAACTCAGGACAGTCCTCTGACATGGCGGAAAACTGTTTTAGTAGCAAAACTAATTGGAATATTGCAAAACTAAATATAGTGGTGTAAACATCAACATTTTTCCTATCTATGTAGTATAAAGGAAGTCAAAAAATACTACATTTACTAGCTTTAAAAAATTCCTGAAAAAATGGTGAAAAATGCTATTTTGAAAAGTTACTTGTGCTAAGGTCTGTAGTAAAAAAATATTTGCCGTATTAAAAAATTTTACTTACATAAAAGTTGCACCTAGGTGTTGGCTTGAAAACTTTATTTGCAGAATTTACATACCTCAATCCAAAAAAAATGGCAGCCATTTCTGCATGGCTTGGGACACTCTCTGGGGCTATTGAGGACACCCCCAAAAACGCATTTACAGTAGAACCTCAGTATGCAAAGGATCCAGTTAAGAAAAAATTGATTAAAAACAAAGAATATTGATTACATTTACCTCGTTTGGCAAAAAAATTTCACTTATCGAAAAATTAGTGCATCATCGGTCATCACAAAATTGTGCATAGAATGTCATACATAGAATTGTGCACCAGGCATCATAGAATGAAAAGTAATTGACCTAAACTATGATTTATTTCTGCAAAACATATGACGGTTGTCACTAAAACATTCCTTTCTGTTTCAGGTATGTTTTTCACGATCTTTTTTTTATAGTAAATTCACTTAACCGAATTAAAATGGTATGAAATTACAAGCCGTCCTGTAAGCTTACAGATACAGAAAAAATGCTATAAGGCTGCTGATATGAAGCTTGCAGTGGACAAGGTTGTTGTAAATGCTCAATGGCATGTTCATGGATACGGTAATATTGCATCAATAATATGATAATATCGCATAAATAATACAGTAATCAAGGTATATGGTTACATCATATCAATAAAGGAAAAATAAGTAAAAATCAAAGAAAATGTCATTTATTCTACCTCTACATCATCTACAATGAAAGAGGAGGACTTCAGAGTACCAGTACTGTTAGTAATGGATGAGTACACTCTGCATGCTTCGAATATTTTAAAATGAAGTTTTATTCCAAGTGTCCCGAGTAGCCCCGTTGACGGGGCTACTCGGGACACTCTTATTTTGCTTCTGGTACCTTACGAATAGCATATGGAATTTTTTTGAAGATGCCATTTGATAGCCCTCGCAAAGAGCTATAAAATGAGCCTAAACTTGTTTATGAAATGTTTCATGGTAAGAAGTTATTAACAAAAAACGCTTAAAACCGTCCCGAGTAGCCCCAGTTGATGGTACTGTAGAAATTCATCTAGTCCTGGGATTTTCAAGTTACAACATTGAAACACATATCACTCAATGTGTTAAAGACCATATCTATAAAATCATACTGGCATTTTTTTAAATTCTCATTTTTGTAGTTGTGGGAGCATTTCTTGTACATTTTTTTATTTTACCCACAACCCCCCCCCCTTTCTGTGGAATAAAGTCCAAACTACGGTATAACAAAATTAGAAACATGCATGCATAATTTTGTAGATATTCTCTTTGCAAATCGGATGGCATTTCTCTCATTGCTGTAGCTTCAAAACTGTAGGGAGAGATAGTTTTTGAGTGACAATAAGTGTGATTGTTCAGTAGAGCCTGACAAAGTCAGGGGCACCTCAAAATTGGCATTCAAGGTTGCAGAGATGCCAGACAAGACAATACTGGAGCTTAGTTTCTTTCAAGGATGGTGAGAAAAACGGTGCACAAACCATCCCACTAGACTGCAGAAGGGTCACTGAAGCAGAAATTGTGAAGACTAGCTATTTAAGATGCACTGAGGCATTTACTCCCTATGATAAATGGTAAACAACTCTGCCAACCCTGGCCCTTTTGCAATCTGTCGTGAATGCATAAATCAATGTACCAGAGATGGTTTTGGTACCGTTGGATAGGTCAGAATGTCAGCTTTGAGATGAGACTAAAAACCAGAAAAGACGCTCCCCTTACAGTGCATAGAGTGCTCTTCTTTCCATTGTAATAGAACTCAGTTGAGTGTGGGGAGGAAATTAAATTTAGATTGTTTGTTCCCACAAGTGTTAGAAGCATTTGGTCTACTCAGGGTTTGAATAAAGACTAGGCCAGTGATAAATTTTGCATCAAAGTACCTGAAGCATATTTGTTAAAATTAAAAAGGAAGCAACTGCATTAACAATTGCATCCTGGGTGACATCAGAAAAAGGACCTCCTCCCAGCAGGTTCTTTAAGGGGAGCATCTACCCTAGAATAAAAAATTTTGACTTTTTAGTTTTCGTACTCATCCTAAAGCTTACATTCTGACGCATCAAACAGTACACAAACGGCAAACCATCTCTGAACGTTGATTTTTGTATTCACCACAGATCGCAAAAGAGTTAGGGGTGGTGGTGTTCCTAAACATTTAAGAACATTTTGAATGATACAAATCAAATGGTATATGTCTCATTGCTGCAGCTTCAAAACTCTAGGAGGAGATAGGTTTGCAGTGACAATAATGAATAAGTTAACTTTTCAGTAGAGCCCGACAAAGTTGTGTGCCTTGAAATTGACATTCAAGGGTGCAATGTTGCAAGAGCAAGACTAGATGATAGCATTGATAGGTACTGGAGCTCAATTTCTGTCAAGAATGGTGCAAACGACGGCCCAAGAACCATCCCGTATGACTGCAGTCTGCAGGCGGATAACTGAAGCACAGCCTGTTTGGTGTTCAGGCGGAGTCAGTACCGTGTTCAGACTATTTAGCTATTTAGTTCAGCTATTTAAGTGTGCTACCATACCAGTAATTTGAATCTTTTCATAACTGACAATTGATTTAGATAGCTGCTGCCCTGCTGGACTTATAACTTATTGCCTGGTCTGTAATTTGCTAAGCATTTTAAGACTGAACAATTAGTGAACATTATTATCAGAACATATGCTCCTGCATAGCATTGTCTAGTTTGTTCTTGAAGCTTGAAGGCGTTCATACTCGGAGCGTCAACATTTTTTTGAATGATTTCTAAGTTTTCCCAAACACAAAGCAACAAAAATCTACATCTCAAAATTAGATAATCTGGCTAGGCACTGCCTAGCATAGTGACAATTCAAACCAGAGATTTTTCATCAGTTCATTTTTAATTTTCTCATTTACTCAAGATTTAAACCAATTTCTTATGTATGATAATGCTGGTATCCATGATGCTTTGCTTGTATACTTATTTTAACTTATAGGACTCAAAAATGAACTTGAGGAAGAGTCTAAAAACTCTCTGCTTTGTCTTTTCTTTCTTATTTATTCTTATAGGAGCACT